AGGGGGTGTGTGTGGAGAGGAATATGCAGCCGCCCCTGCTTGGCCTGCTGCCCTCCTGGACCCTCACAAATGGGGGTGCGATGACCCTGCTCCCCTGGCCTTGGACCCCTCTGTGGTGTGACAAGCCCCGCCCAGCTTGGCCTCCCCAGGGTGATCAGTTTAAATGAAGACTTGACCCTGGGGCCCCGCGCCCCCTGCCAAGGCCCCACCAGGAGCTCACCACCACCCACTGCTCCTGCCTCTGGGCCTTTGCAGAATCCCCGGCCCTGGCATGAGCTGGCTTGGTAGTGGGGCCAGAAATACTCCTCAAGTGAAGGAATGAAGGAGGGAGCACTCTGGGCCTTTGCAGAATCCCCGGCCCTGGCATTAGCTGGCTTGGTAGTGGGGCATTAGCTGGCTTGGTAGTGGGGCATGAGCTGGCTTGGTAGTGAGGCCAGAAATACTCCTCAAGTGGCCGAAACCGGTTTGGCTCAGTGGATTGAGCGTCGGCCTGCGGACTGAAGGGTCCCGGGTTCGATTCCGGTCAAGGGCATGTGCCTGGGTTGCGGGCACATCGCCAGTGGGAGATGTGCAGGAGGCAGCTGGTCGATGTCTCTCTCTCATCGATGTTTCTAACTTTCTGTTTCTCTCCCTTCCTCTCTGTAAAAAATCAATAAAATATATTAAAAAAAAAAAAGAAAAGAAAAAGAAATACTCCTCAAGTGAAGGAACGAAGGAGGGAGCGCACTCTTCATTGTCAGTTTTCTCCCCCTGTGCTGCTCCCTCCCAGGCCAGCCTCCACCATCAGTGCCCGGCCCCAGGACGAGGGTTCTGGTCTGGAGGGGCAGCTTCGGGTGGCAGGGGGGCGGGAGAGCTTCGTTCACCCTCCTCCAACAATCTCTGCGGGGAACCCTAACGCCGTGCCATGGCCCGGCTCAGGCTGGGCCGCAAGGGCCCCCTGGTCTGGTCGTACCTGCAGCTGGCAGTGTCGGGGGCCGCCACGGCGTACTTCAGCTCCTTCAGCGCCTACTGCGTCTTCCGGTTCCTGATGGGCATGACCTTCTCTGGCATCATCCTCAACTCCCTCTCTCTGGGTGAGTCCAGACGCGGAGGGGCCGGGAGGGGGCTCGTGGGAGGCGGCACGGCAGCCCCATCGTCAGACATCTTACCTGTGTCCTCCTGTGGGATTCTCACCCGGTGACCTCCACTCAGAGCCGCCCAGCGGGGCCCTGGGAGGCCCAGGCTCCCAACAGCAGCCCCGCCGGCCTTGACCGTGGGCGTGGGTGGTGATTGGCCATCAGTGAGTGAGCTGAGAGGGTTGGGTTTATTTCCCGTGTGAATTAGTCAACAATAACCACTTACTAAACACCTACCATGTGCCAGGCTCTCAGTGTGGGGGTGCAGAGGTGAGGTGAGACCGTGGCCCCAGGGCTGCAGGCAGCGCCGAGATTATGTGGGTCCAAAAAGGCTGGGGTTCACCTGGGCTGCAAAGGTGCTGACTCATCATTTATGGTGGCGCCATGATGTCTTTACCAGCCCCCTGGGATGTGGGGGTAAAATGTAGGCTGTTTCCACATTTTACTATTTGCAAAAAAAATCATGAAAATAAGAATCATTGTATTTCCTTTTCTTTCAACTGTTCGTGTCCTTTGCCTGTTTTTCTGTTTGTTTTGGTTGTTTTTCTACTGATTTGTGAGAATTTTTCCAATTTTAGGAAATTCGCCCTTTATCCGTTGAGTTGCAATATTTTCCTTTGTCATTTTATTTTTTGCTGGTGTTATGACTTTGCGTATGGTGGGTTTTGCTGTTGTTTATCTTTTTATTTATTTTATTTTATTTTTTAAAAAATATATTTTTATTTATTTCAGAGAGGAAGGGAGAAGAGAGAGAGATAGAAACATCAATGATGTGAGAGAATCATTGATTGGCTGCCACCTGCACCCACCCCTATGGGGATCGATCCCGCAACCTGGGCATGTGCCCCTGACCGGGAATCGAACCATGACCTCCTGGTTCATAGGTTGATGCTCAACCACGGAGCCATGCCAGCTGGGCTCCCCAAGAGTTACTCTTAATCTGCCTTTTCATAGCACAGTTTGGTTTTGCCTCTTCGTACACTTTGCATTAATGGTTTCATAAAATTACTTTTTAAGAAATATATTTCTTTATTCATTTCAGAGAATAAGGGAGAGGGAGAGAGAGATAGAAACATCAATGATGAGAATCATTGATCTGCTGCCACCTGCACGCCCGCTCCTGGGGATCGAGCCCACAACCTGGGCATGTGCCCTTGATCTGAATCGAACCTGGGACCTTTCGGTTCGCAGGCCGATGCTCTATCCACTGAGCCAAACCCGCTAGGGCTGTTTGTCTTTTTAATGCAGACACTTCTTATTTTTATGAAGTCGAGTTTACTGATCTTTCCTTTTATTGCTTCTGGGTTTCGTGATATTCTTAGAAAAGCCTTTCCTGACTCTAAGATTGAAAAACCAACCCATCATGATTTCTTCTACTACGAATTTTTCCAATTTTAGGGAAATTCACCCTTTATCCGTTGAGTTGCAATTTTTTCCTTGGTCATTTTTTTTTGCTGGTGTTATGACTTTGCTTATGGTGGGTTTTGCTGCTGTTTATCTTTTTATTTTTTTAAATATATTTTTATTTATTTCAGAGAGGAAGGGAGAAGGAGAGAAGATAGAAACATCAATGATGAGAGAATCATTGATTGGCTGCCTCTCGCAAGCCCGCTCCTGGGGATCGAGCCCACAACCTGGGCATGTGCCCTTGATCTGAATCGAACCTGGGACCTTTCGGTTCGCAGGCCGATGCTCTATCCACTGAGCCAAACCCGCTAGGGCTGTTTGTCTTTTTAATGTAGACACTAAAAACAACCTATCATGATTCCTACTATGTTTGAGGTTCTGCTGTTTAATTTGGGGCTTTGGTCCACCTGGAATTCCGCCGAGTGCACGGAGTGGGGAGGGGTGCCTCGGCCCGTCTCAGCGGGCCCCTGAGTTCCCCTCGATGACCACAGCGGGGGCGGGTGAGCTAAGCAGCCTCGGGGCGAGCGGGGCTGAGCCTGCGTGTCCTCTCCGCAGTTGTGGAGTGGATGCCCACCCGGGGCCGGACCGTGGCGGGCGTCCTGCTGGGCTTCTCCTTCACCCTGGGGCAGCTCATCCTGGCCGGAGTGGCGTACCTGGTCCGGCCCTGGCGCTGGCTGCAGTTTGCCGTCTCTGTTCCTTTCCTCATCTTTTCCCTCTATTCCTGGTACGTCCTGAGCAGAGTGGGTGGGGCGGGGGTGGGGGAGGGTGCCCCTGTGTGGCTGACCTGTCCCTCTGGCGGCCTGGGGTGTGCAGTGACTGGGACCTGCTGGGTGTGGTGGTGGGAGATGCGAAGAAAGGCGGGGCCGTGGGACCCCGGGCTCCCGAGTATGTGCATGGCTACGGGCAAGCTCCGGAAAAATCCCTAACCTTGGCCTGGGTTCCAGAACAATCTGAGCGCTTTTGCCTTTTCAACTCCTTTGTGTCTCACGACCACCTCCTGGCATTTTGTGGGAGGGGACCTGAGGCACCGCCAAGGGGGGTCCATGACTTACTCAAGGCCAGACACTGGGGTCAGACCCAGATTCAAACCGACCTGTCCGGGCCCCAGCCCCCAGCCCCCAACCCCCAGCAGGCTCTGGTGTCCTCAGGGCGTCCCTGTGTGATGTGTTCTGCAGTCCTGGCTCTGCGATCAGCCCCCAGCAGGCTCTGGCGTCCTCAGGGCGCCCCTGTGTGATGCGTTCTGCAGTCCTGGCTCTGCGGATCCCTAACCTTGGCCTGGGTTCCAGAACAATCTGAGTGCTTTTGCCTTTTCAACTCCTTTTATAGGAGGGACCTGAGGCACCGCCAAGGTGGGGTCCATGACTTACTCAAGGCCAGACACTGGGGTCAGACCCAGATTCAAACCGACCTGTCCGGGCCCCAGCCCCCAGCCCCCAACCCCCAGCAGGCTCTGGTGTCCTCAGGGCGTCCCTGTGTGATGTGTTCTGCAGTCCTGGCTCTGCGACCAGCAGGGCCTTTCACCTTAAGGCCTGAAGAAGGTGAATGAAGCCGTGTTTGCGTCTGGGGAAGAGCGAGTCCCACTCAGCCCTGGTCACTCTCCATCCTCCTCCTGGTCTCAGGTGGCTGCCAGAGTCATCCCGATGGCTCCTCCTCCACGGCCAGTCCCAGCGAGCTGTGCAGAACCTGCGGAAGGTGGCCGCCATGAACGGGAGGAAGGCGGAAGGGGAGAGGCTGACCCAGGAGGTAGGCGGATGGGCGGGAGGAAGGGCAGGAACGGTTTGCGGTCGCTGGTGGCCTCCAGGTGTGCTAGGGTTTACGTAGTAGCTCCCGGACTCACCCACCCTCCAGGTGAAGAGCCTGGGAGTAAACAGCGGGAAGAGGCCGTGCAGCAAAGGTGTTGGCCACTGAACGGCGGTGCGCTCTGGGATAAAACTGTCAGCCACTTTGTCCGTCCGACTATCCGACTGTGTAATGGGGAGATTGCCATTCACACTGACATCCAGCCAAAATGTAAACAAAATAACAAAATGAAAATGTTAAAATAGCCATCATGGAGTAAAATTATTGAAGAATTGATAATAAAAGTACCATTTATTATAAATAAGTACCATTTATCGAGTCCTATGCTAGGCACTATGTATGCTAAGGCCTTTTTACGTACGTGACCTCATTTATTTATTTATTTTTTAAATATATTTTTATTGAGTTCAGAGAGGAAGGGAGAAGGAGAGAGAGAGATAGAAACATCAATGATGAGATAGAATCATTGATCAGCTGCCTCCTGCACGCCCCACACCGGGGATCGAGCCCGAAAACCAGGCATGTGCCCTGACTTGGAATCAAACCGTGACCTCCTGGTTCATAGGTCAACGCTTAACCACTGAGCCACGCTGGCCGGGCTACGTGACCTCATTTAATGTCTCACTTTTGCCGATGAGGAAAATGAAGTTTGGGTGGGTCAGGTAATTTGCCTAAGAACACACCATGGAAAGGGGCAGAACCACTCAGAACCCCTGCTCTTCACCATTGGCCACGCCTGTCTGAGTCCCCACCAAGGATGGGGCGTGGGGGCCCCGCTGGAACACAGGTGGCCGTTTCAGCCTGAGCAGCAGGCAGCTCAGGGCCGTGGGACTCGTGGGAGCCTCGGCTTCGTCCCAAATCCCCGGAAACAGCCAGCGTAGGACCAGCCATCCTGCCAGGGCCTTTGACCTTGGCCCTCCTTCCCATGGGTGAAGGGATACCCAGCAGAGAAACACGGTCCCAGGTCCCTCCAGCCCCCTGATCGCGCTTTCCCGGCCCAGGTGGTGAGCTCCTACATCCAGAGTGAGTTCACGAGCGTCCGCACTTCCACCTCCGTCTTGGACCTCTTCCGAACCCCGGCCATCCGCAAGGTCACGTGCTGTCTCATGGTGGTCTGGTAGGTGAGGGGCTCATGCCCAAGGCTTTGACCCAAGTTAGAGACATAACTTTTATCCCTACTATCTTTTAAAAATGTATTTTTATTGATTTCAGAGAGAAAGGGAGAGAGAGAGAAACACTAATGATGAGAGAGAATTATTGATCGACTGCCTCCTGCACGATACGGGGATCGAGCGCCCGCAACGTGGGCATGTGCTCTGACCGGGAAACGAACCATGACTTCCTGGTTTATAGGTTGACACTCAACCACTGAGCCACGCCGGCTGGGCCACTGACGAACTCTTAAATATGCTTAATGCAATGAGCAGATGGGCCTTGTGAATCCGATCCTGCTCCACACCCTTCCCCCGGGGCCCTTTGGCCTCCGCTGGTGCTGCGATGTGGCCATGGAGGAGACATCCATGCTGACCCTGGGACCCCACATCTGGGCAGTGCGTCTCACCTGGGTGGGCACCTATTGGAGGCATCTGGGCACCATGTCTCATTCTGCTCTGCCCTCGGGCTCTCCAGGGGGTCTTGGGACGGAACCACTTTGGAAAACCACTTGTGGGTCCAGAAGGGGACAGACAGGACAACAGTAATTTCCGTGAGGTATGACAAGTGTCCCAATAACAGTTCCCTTACCTGGGGCTGCCGAGGGCTTCACACAGGGGCTGGCATGTAGGTGGGTTTGAAAAGATAGTTAATAGCCGGTTTGGCTCAGTGGCTAATGTCTGCTTGTTCGATTCTGGTCAAGGGCATGAACCCCTGTTACAGGCTCCTCCCCGGCCGGGGCCGTGGTCAGGGCACATGCAGGAGGCAACCAATCCCTGTGTTTCTCTCACATCAATATTTCTCTCTGTCTTCCACTCTCTCTAAAAATCAATGAAAAAAATATCCTTGAGTGAGGATTATATAAATAAACAAACAAACAAACAAATAAATCAAATCAAAGACAGTTAACAGAGTTCGCCAAGTGAGCAGGAAGAACTCCCTGACAGGTGCGTAGGTAGGCATAAACATGTGCAATGGCTAAAAATATGAAGGCAACCCCTACCTATTAGCACAGACTGGAAGCTAGCAAATGCCGAGGTAAGGGGCTGATTTAAAAAAAAAAATTAAATTTGCCTGGCTGGGTGTCCTGGACATAAAGATAATCGGGGTTGATATTGAGGAAGCGTGGGCTGCAGGCCATGCACTACCTGAGCTCTGGAGCAGACCAGGCACTGTCGGTAAGGTCGCCAGCTGGGCTCAGGCCGACCAGCCTCCTGTGCCTCAGTTTCCCACTTGTGCCCCTGCCCCTGAGGTCCTCGTGAGGACGGAGAGTTGACCTGTAAACCCACCTTGGCCAGGGGAAGAGCCTGTTCTCGTAGTTGAGGTTGGAGCGGCACCCCCTGTGCTGGGACCTTCCCAGGCAGCCTGCTCTGCTACCCCTCCCAGGTTCTCTAACTCCATGGCTTACTACGGCCTGGCCATGGACCTGCAGAAGTTTGGGCTCAGCGTCTACCTGGTCCAGGTCCTGTTCGGGGTCATAGACATCCCGGCCATGCTGGTGGCCACCACCACCATGATCTACGTGGGCCGCCGAGCCACGGTGGCTTCCTTCCTCATCCTGGCGGGGCTCATGGTGATCGCCAACATGTTTGTGCCAGAAGGTGAGCCGCGGGCTTCTGCCGTTACCGCCCGGGAGCCTCCGGGGTCTGGGGTCTGGCGGGCAACAGGTACAACAAGGGAACAAGGAAGAGCGAGGTCTGGGAAGGAAGTGATTGTCCATCAGCAGGGGTTTCAGTGAGCACTGGGTGCCCAGGGTCAGCTCCTGGTTGTAAATGCCCTCAGGGCATTTCCCATCTGGTCGGAGAGGTTAGACAGATGCCTCAAACCAACCAAAGGGCTGGCTGGTGTGTGTCCACCTGGAGCCTGGCCAGGCAGCATTTCCAGGGCCGAGAAGCTCAAGTGTGACCCTCAGCCAGTGGCCCTGGAACAGGGGTCTGCAAACCGGCCTGGAGACCTTTGAAAACTGCCAGTGCCCAGGGGCCCCAGGCCAGTGCAGTTAGCCTCAGGAGGGGGACCCCACCCTTAGGATTCAGAAGGCTGTCCAGTGATTCCAGCGAGAAGCCAGGGTTGGGTATCCCAGTCCGAGAGCGTGTGCTGAGCCGAGGGCTCGCCGTGACAACCGTGGCAGGCTGTCTGACTTCTCCGTGCTTCAGGTCCTCCCTACAAAATGGATCGATCATTACTATTGGCATTTTGACAACTTTCTTCCAATCTTTTTTCCTATTTGTTGATTTTGTATTTGATATAATCAAGATACTATCATATACATATGTAAAAAAGGATTATATGTGAGTGTATATGTGTGTATATAGTATATATAACGTATCCCTTTTCACACTGTATGTTGTCTAGAAACGTGCTTTCCCATGTTATGCTGCAACATAAACACTTCTCCGTGTCAGGACAAATGCTTCATGGCCCTAATTTTATATCGCTGTGTAATATCCCATCTAGACTGGTGATTTTCAACCCTGGCTGCCCATCAGACTCCCCTGGGGACCTTTAGAAAAACTACCAACTTGAGCCCAGCCCCAAGAGGCTTTGCAATCACAGAGACGGGTGGGGCCTAGGTGTGGGCATTTGATAAACTATCCCCTCCACTTGCAGTGTGCAGCTGGAGTGGCCACAAAGGATGTGCCACCATTTCCCTGCCTGCTGCCCCGTGCTGGGCATGGGCACGGGGGCTGAGCTTTTGTGAGCAGCAGCATGACGAGCGTGTGAATAACGGCAACAGCGAGCATGTGATGAGCGCTGGCGCCTGCGCTCGTAGCGTCCTGTCAACCTCAGGACAAACGCGAAGCAGGCGCTGCGTTTTCCTCATTCTTCAGAGGAGGACGGGGAGGCTCAGAGAGGTTGCCTGACAGTGACCAGGGGCCCCCTTCTGGGTCAGAGCCGGGATTTGAACCTGAGCCCAACTCCAAAGCTGGTCCCAGCTCCCCAGCAGGACCTGGTGTCCGGTGGAGAGAAGAGGGGAAGGAGGCGGAAGTCAGAGAAGGGCTGTGTGGGGACTCTGGGTCCCAGTGGGGACGTGAGGTGGTGGAAACCCTGATTCACCCCCTCCAGGTTCTAGGCGCCCTGCCTGCCCTGGCTGTGCCCACCCCACACCCTATGCCTCCCTGTCTCCTCCCCCACAGCACCCCGTCCCATGGCCCTCACCCCCACAACCCCCACCTCCTCTGCCTCCCTGCTCCCTCTTGGGCTCTGAGCCACCCCTCCCACAGCCTGTCCGCCCTCCAGGTATGCAGACCCTGCGCACGGCCCAGGCAGCGCTGGGCAAAGGCTGCCTGGCCAGCTCCTTCATCTGCGTGTACCTGTTCACGGGAGAGCTGTACCCCACGGAGATCAGGTGGGTCTGTAGGGGGAGGCGGAGAGCACCTGCCCCAAACTGGGAGCCCCCCCCCACCCCCCGTGTTCCTGGCTGACACCTGCTGGGCTTGCCAAGGCAGGTCCCTTCTCCTTCTTGCTCGGTCCCCCAGCACCGCCGCCCTCTGGGGGTCTAGGCCACGGCCACGGACCTGTCCACATTCCTCGCACAGGCAGATGGGGATGGGCTTCGTCTCGGTCAACGCCCGCCTCGGGGGGCTGGCTGCGCCCCTGGTCACCGCGGTCGGGGAGTTCAGTGCCATCCTGCCGCCTGTGGCCTTCGGGGCCACCTCGATCCTGGCCGGGCTGACCGTCTGCTTCCTGGCTGAGACCCGCAACACACCCCTGGTGGAGACCATTGAGGTGATGGAGAGGAGGTGAGAGGCCTCTGGGCACAGCGGGGTGGGGGCGACCAAACAGGCTGTGGTCCCCAAAACAACTGAGGGCAGAGTGTCCTGTGGCTGCTGCTAAAACGTCACCGCTGAGCGAGAGCTGGGTGCCCCCATGCCCAGCTCCCCCATCGGTGGAGGCTTAGCTTTCACAAGAACAGACCCAACGGCGAATGGTGCAATAGAAAGAAGAATCCGCTGTAGCCCGGCCCGTGTGGCTCAGTGGTTGAGCGTCAACCTATGAACCAAGAGGTCACAGGTTCAATTCCCAGTCAGGGCACATGCCCAGGCTGCAGGCTTGATCCCCAGTAGGGGGCGTGCAGGAGGCAGCGATTGATGTTTCTCTGTCATTGATGTTTCTATCTCTACCCCACTCCCTTCCTCTCGCTAAAATCTATAAAGAAAAAAGAAATATGTTTGGGCTGGTTGTCTCTCCATCTGGGGCAACGTAGGAAGGGCCTGGCATGCCCAGCACCCAGGTCTCTGCTGTGCCCTGGTCCACGCTGAGTCCGGCCTTGGTTGACTTGTCTGGCGTTGGGTCCTCTTTGGAAAACTCTTTGACCAGCAGCTTTTCCAAGTCTGGCTCTTACTAGCCAGGCCAGCCTCTGCCACCATGAGACCTCATAGTGGAGCCAGGACGGGGCAGAAGGGACGGTGGAGACACGTCTCGTGCGTGACACAAACACCCTCGATCGTCACGCACACATGCCCTGCCCCTCACCACCTCCCTTCCACTTTCTTTCCGCGTCAGTGTTCCATTTGCCTTCTCATTCCACAGAGCCAAGGGCCTCTCCAGGAAGGATGCGGAAGGGAGGAGCGAAGACATTTCCCTTCAGCAGCTGGGAGCTTCTCCCCTCTTAGAAACCATCTAAGGTGCCCAGGGCCCGGCACACGCTGGTCGTACCTCAGCCGGTGTCCGGCTTCCTGGCGCTGACCGGGGTCGGAGTTGGCCAAGGACCGTGGTGGCCCCATCAGCCCATGTCAAAGAGCCGCCCAAAGCCAGTGCTGGGGCTGCCGGCAGAAACCAGACCAGCAGCCATTGGCATGACATGGATAGAAATTGAGGAGAAGCCACGCCCAGGGACCGAAGGAGGGGCCGTTTTCCTTCCCACCTCCAGCGTGCAGGAGGCAGCGATTTCTTTTCATTCTTTTTCTTTTTTTTCTTTTCATTCTTGTTCCACCTGAAAGCGCTGGGTCCTCGCAGGGTTAGGGTGACATTTCGGCCCTTGGTTGTCCCTGAAACGGCCCCGCCCACTTGTCCTTGAGAACTCACTGTGCTCCATTCCTGACACATTACTCTCTCCTGCCTGGAGGATTAAAGCTCTCTCCCCTGTGTGTGTGGCTTACCTCCTCGAGGGCACATGTCCCCATGCCAGAGCCTGCTTGCCCCTCGCAGTGGGCCTCGCAAATGGTACCCACTCAATAAATAGTTGATGAATAAACGATGAAGCCAGTCCCAGGCGATGGAGAGACCTCTACCCATTGCTGCCTTCTAGCGATATCACTTTGCAGAAGACATACAGAGGGCATAGCATAGCTTCCCTCTGACCTCAGATCATTTCCAGCCCAGATGTTCCATGTGTACCTGCATTCCTGACCCTGACCTTCACCAGAATTCAGATTAGATTCATAAGGGATTCAAATCCTGGCCCATTGGGTAGCCCTTGGGCAAGCTTCCTTGTCTAACCCCTTCCTCCTAGAGTTTCCAGGGAATCAAACAAGATAAACAGTCCCCTCCAGTCCGAGGAAAAGCACAATCGAGGGAAGAAGTAGGAATATCATAGTTTGGGCAGAAAACACCGCAACCTGACATTTCGCCAAGGTCAGTCTTTCAGCAGCCTCGCCCTTGGAGCAGAGCTGGAGTGAAACTCCGCCGGACGCTGTCCCAAGGCCCTGGCCTTCATGCAGCAATCCCCCAGGCCCTCCCACAGAAGTAACCTCTCTTTCAACAACCCGATACATGAGCTTTCCGACCTGAATTATTCTCAACCCACAGCCCTCAGCAGATCAGTGCATTTGAAAGGCGGAGGGCTGCTGTACCTGGTCACACTTTAAGATTCACTTTGGGAGACACCTCTTCCAGGAAGCACTCCCTGACAACCCCTGCCTACCTCTGGGCTCCAGTCATGCCCCCTACACATCCTCCCCACTGTGGTGTAATGGATCCATTTACATGGTGGTCTCACCTGGTGGCTCCCTGAAGGCAGAGTTAGGCCATCTTGGCCTGGTTGTGTGGCCTGCACATAGTAGGTGCTCAGTTCACATTATTGGGGTGAATGAAATAATCAGGACACTAAAAACAAAAGTGATCTCTCACTGCTGAACGCTGAGGAGGAGGTAGAAAAACTAAATGGAAAATCCAGGTAGAACAACAAGATTTTGTATGTATTTTAAAAACCAATGTGCTCAGTTCACATTATTGGGGTGAATGAAATAGTCAGGACACTAAAAACAAAAGTGTCACTGCTGAACGCTGAGGAGGAGGTAGAAAAACTAAATGGAAAATCCAGGTAGAACAACAAGATTTTGTATGTATTTTAAAAACCAATCTGTGCCCGGCCGGCATAGCTCAGTGGTTGAGTGTCGACCTATGAAACGGGAGATCACGGTTTGATTCCCGGTCAGGGCACATTGCCTGGGTTGTGGGCTCAGTCCCCAGTAGAGGGCCTGCAGGGGGAAGTTGATCAATGATTCTCTCTCACCATGATGTTTCTCTCTTTCTCCCTCTCCCTTTCTCTCTGAAATTAATAAAAATAAATACATAAATAAAAATTAAAGATAAAAGGGCACTTTTTCAAGTGTCCTCAGTTTGTTTAAAAATATATAAATAAAAACAAATCTATTATAAACACCCTTTTCTTTTTTGAAGAAAATTTAAATAGTGATTCTCAATCCTGGAATCGGCTGTGAGCTTTAAAAAAATATCAGTGCCAGGGCCCACTCCCGAGAATTCTGATGTCTTTAGTTGGGTTTGAGAACCACTGTCTAGAAACAGTTTTCCTAACCAGTAAGAGAATTAACACAACTTAGTCCAGTGGATAGAGTTAATGAAAACAATACTATGAAATCCTAGGACAAAGAGAACACATACCTTTACATGAACAAGCCTGATTTTCTATAACAAACGTTCTGACAACGAAGTTTCCTACAACAAGCATAAGTAATCTTGAGGTTACAGGTCACAGTCCCTGGGGTAAAACCACGAAGCCTTGACTACTCTTGGTCTTAGCAAAAAACACTAGCCAGCCCCGCTGGTGTGGCTCGGAGGTTGAGCGTGACCTATGAACCAGGAGGTCACAGTTTGATTCCCGGTCAGGGCACATTCCTGAGTTGTGGGCTCGATCCCCAGTGCGGAGCATGAAGGAGGCAGCTGATCAATGATTCTCTCTCATCATCGATGTTTCTTTCTCTCTCTCCCTTCCTCTCTGAAATAAATAAAAATATATTTACACGTTAAGCGCCCAGTCAGTCACTGGTGGCTGACACTATACTTCCCATCCGGAAGACAAAACAGGCTGGGCGCTTAACGTGTTAAAAACGAAAAACCCTGGCCAGAAACTGTTACGTGAAGACAAGTTCGTGATGATGATGCGTAGACGGCACTGCCTACATAGGATTCCGCTTGTCTGACGCTCCGTATCATAATCTTTCTGGCAAATGGCCTCCGGACTTCTTTGCCTTGGTATCCTAAGGCACTGACCAGCTGGCACGTTAGTTCTCAAGAGTGTTTGCCCTAGCCGGTTTGGTCCCGGTCAGGGCACATTCCTGAGTTGTGGGCTCCATCCCCAGTGCGCAGCATGAAGGAGGCAGCTGATCAATGATTCTCTCTCATCATCGATGTTTCTTTCTCTCTCTCCCTTCCTCTCTGAAATAAATAAAAATATATTTACATGTTAAGCGCCCAGTCAGTCACTGGTGGCTGACACTATACTTCCCATCCGGAAGACAAAACAGGCTGGGCGCTTAACGTGTTAAAAACGAAAACCCCTGGCCAGAAACTGCTACGTGAAGCCAAGTTCGGGATGATGATGCATAGACGGCACTGCCTACACAGGATTCCGCTTGTCTGACGCTCCGTATCATAATCTTTCTGGCAAATGACCTCCAGACTTCTTTGCCTTTGTATCCTAAGGCACTGACCAGCTGGCACGTTCGTTTTCAAGAGTGTTTGACAACCATCTTCCAGGCATCTCTACGTCTCTCATTAAGTATCACTGGGCCTTGTGGCTGCAGGGAGATGGCTGTCAAGGCGCCTGGGACTTCCAATTATAAAGATTGCCCGGGCCAGGTAAGAGCCGCTAAGGCAGTGATGGCGAACCTATGACACGCGTGTCAGAGGTGACACGTGAACTCATTTT